ATATCATTGTGGGAAAATTCTACTACCAGTCCTTCATCACCTTACACGAAATATGGTGAATACATCTCATGACATGATAATACTCCTTCAAACGGCTGATATGGTTGTCACGCCAACTCAAGCCCCGCCAAGCTTATATTTTATCATGAAATTGTCAATCAAGAAAAAGTGTATTTGCTGGTACATTCCATATCGTCACTTTAACTCATTACTAGTATGCATCAAAATTAACCGAAATTTTCGACTAAGAACTTAGTCAAACTTGGTGGGCTAAGATAGCATCGAATTAAGTATTGTTTTTCGTGACTACCAGTAAATCAGCTATTAGATGTATTCACCCAATTCGGTTTAAGGTGATAAAGGACTGGTAGAAGTAGAATTATCCCACAAATGATATGATTTGAGCTGAAGTTTCCATTAAACTTTACATAGCTTTGCTTTTCCAAATGTTGTTCTCATTCAGACACCAGTGGACTGTAGTTTCGACCTCATGTTCGTCTTATCAACACCCTCAGCGGGAGTCGAACCGCGACAGTGCAGGACGGTGGCTTGACACGCTAACCACTCGGCTGTCGCGGTTCGACTCCCACTGAGGGTGTTGATAAGACCAACGTGAGGTCGAAACTGCAGTCCTCTGGTGTCTGGATGAGAACAACTTTTGGGAAATCAAAGCTATGCAAAATTCAATGCAAATGTCAGCTTAACTCATATCATTTGTGGGAAAATTCTACTCCTACCAGTCCTTCATCACCTCAAACGAAATTGGGTGAATGCATCTTATAAGATAGCATCGTTGGTCCTAGAAACATCATTGTGGCAAAATCCCAATATCTGAACTAAATTCACGTCTATTAATCTAGGGGAATAATGATATTTTCAAAAGAAACAAAATTTATAGCTTGTTCTTTGTCTAAAAGTAGGGTTTCGGGAGTACCAGTAATTCCTTAATACATCGATTGCAAGCATAGTTTGAGTTATGCCTAGATTCTCCTCAAAGTAACGTGGGGTCGAGTGGCCGCGTATTACTACAATACACTCGATTCAGTTTCAACTCCCACTTGGAGTGATGGCAATACTGCAGTCCAGCATGAATGAGAAGACATTTCGGCACAGCACCCCTACATTCCATTGTGGTGAATAACCCCAACATCATCATTCAAGCTATCTTAAGTGAACAAGATTGGAATCGACCCTCGGATCTCTTCACCAAAGACTGATTAAGTTGCTTTTTCAAAAATATTCTATAAAATTTTGATGAAATATTGATAATTCCTATGGCTTTAGGTTAATTTCAGCTAGTGGATATCAACATTATATATCGCAGCCATCAGGAGCCTGATCGTTGTAAAGATGAAGCATTTTATATTGGATTTAAACAAATTATTATCACACGAGTGTAGTCTAGCCTAAAGACAAGAATTCCGTTATGTGAATCTGAAAAAGTATGATTAACTGTAATGCTCCCATTGAGTATGAGGCTTGCAAAAGAAGGATGTATGAAGAAAATGGGAATTTCGAATAATCTCTTGAGATGAAACTGAATTGAATACTTTCATTTCGTATGGAAGTACATGACAAAGAGATTCGTAGACCCGAAGACGTCAACTAATTCATGTTGCATTGCAGCCATTCGGCATTAATACGACATTCAGGTTGAATGAGTCCATGAGACATCCTCCAATGTTTCGGACGAAAATGGGATGAGCTTTCGTTCGTCATCGCCGGAGCTGGGACGCATTCTTGCAAAAGCCTCAAGTTAACACTAAGTCAAGAAGACTAACCGGCTTTTTTCTTTATAATATATACACACATTTCGAGCAAAATTTACAATATAGATGGTTAAGTCAAGTTTCCTCTATTGTGTGTATGTATGTTAATGCTTGTACGCAAAATTGGTCATAGCCCAGAGTAATTAGAAAAAGACTTAACATCTGCCCCAAGTCATTAAGTCTTAATTATCCAAGGAACAAATGCAAGGAAAAAGAATGACATAGATTGCGTTGGTCTGTTAGTGATTCTGGCAAAATTGATGAGATGTTGGTATATCTACGAAAACACCAGTTGTTTGGCGAATGAGCTCGACATGTCTGTTGAGCGAGTGTCAACTTGGTTAGTGCAAAACCGGTCCTAAATCGGAGTTATACAAATTCCGTAATCAAGTATGTTTGAGCAAATGAGATATGAGCTTGTAAGCATGTAAGTCAAGTTACGGAACCACTCGTCCTAACCTCTCAGTCGAGGGTCATTAAGGTTTAACCACCCAAGCGAAGGCATGAGTGGGGTTGCGTAATCTGGCACGTCTGGTTTGGTTGATCAGCTTAATCCAACATATTTGACGAATGTGAGTGAAACTAGA